TCTTCTTGTCTCATCTTCCTGGCTTCATAGTCAACACACTCCCAACTCAAGTTCCCATTGTGTGCAACCTGTGACAATCAACTTAGAAAGTTCTGTGGCTGAGCACTAGCACTCTCAGACATGATCTGGAACTTACCTGGAGGTTCCACGAAGAACATCACCCACTATCACCCACTATCCCAAACCCAGCACTACCACTCACTATAGAACCTTGCATGCCCCACTCATCTCTGTCCTGAGGAGAGGCTAGATGGTTCAGGTCATAACCCAGTATAAAAATATGAGGTCCCCTCCCTTTGCATTATCTCGGTTCATCCTCATCATTCCAGCTTTCACAGAATAAGCTGTTTTCATCAATGGCTGGATTTTTACCTCCCAAAGCAAGAAAGGCCAAATTTGCAGGCATTGCTAATTGGACACCATTTTCTTACTGCTTTTGACACAGAATCAAAATTTTCTTTCCCATTATTGTCCATCTCAGGAGAGAAACTATTGTGCCCTCAGCTAGGGACACAAACAAAGCTGCAGAATGGAGCTGCCCAGCTTTGTACTCAAGCTCCAGGGTCGACACTGCCTTGGAGGCACAGTCTTCAGTGCCCTGGAGTCCTTCACAAAATCTGCCCATTGTCCAGAACGCAGCCTCTGAAGTCTCCAGGAGCAGAGATGCTCGCCAGAACCTGGGCTTTTCCTGCCACACTGTGGCCAAGACTGAACACTACATGTGACCTTTATTGCCTGAGAAGAGGTACCTCTTTCTTTTTATTTTTTCTTTTTGTAGTATTAGAAGTAGTTACCTTGACCTGTCAACGCCCAAATACACCTAAGCCCCAGCTAATATTTACACCCCCCCGGGAGGACTCCTATGAACCATTCCCACCCCAGATGGAATGCGGTCTCCCCCATCTGGTTCCCACAGCTCTAGCCTCTCCTGCACATACTCCATCTCCCTAATGAGAAGGTGAGCTCTCTGAAGACAAACTGACTCATTTGTGTGTCTCCGAGGTCTAATACCAAAAGTATCCAATAGATATATGTGAAAGGAAGAAAGGGAGGTGGGGAGCTGAATCAGGGAAATAATATATACAATGAGGACCCCTTATTCAGCTTGTACTGTATACAGACACTGTGTGCTCACTGCTTATCCCAGGCCCAACTCAGCTACCCCAGCTTCATCCAGCACTGGCCTAGTGGGGGTCTCCAGGAACCCTGCCCTTCACCTCACCCTGTTCTGATTGCTAAGTGCCCATGTCACATGTTTATAAGTATTTTAGCCCTTCTACCCCCACCACCCCCAACCCCAAGTGACCATCCACAATGCTTCCAGAATTAGGTCTAGTATTGTCCCAGAATCCAATTCAGAATGTGTGACTAAGAAGGGATAAATTAGCTACCTAAGGTCACACACACAGAATTCAGAATTCTTGGACACAAAATCCAAACCCTAGTGGCATCTGAGGACTCTCTCACCTTTGTGCATCAGAGATACCTGAGGACCTATTCTGGGGGGTTCTAGAATATGTGTGCTGGCAGTGGGATAGCCTGCATCAGAGAGCAGGCTCCTGGCATCCCAGATGTACAGATCACAAAGCCTCAGGCCCTCAGCCAGCTGACTCCATCCCAGAAGTGTGGGTGACAAGAACCCAGCCTGGGGGAGCTCCCTCACTCAAGAAGTTCCTCACTGGCTATGACTGGAGCTGTTCTGGGGAGGTCCAGTACTTTGCAGCACCATCCTGCCCCCAAGGCCACCTCCAGCTCTGAAAGGAGGGCAAGATGCCAGTCAAGCGTGAACACCCTCCCAAGGTGTCCCCAGAATCAGGGTCTAATCCTCAAGCTAGCACAAAGGCCCTTAGCTTGATCTGGCAGCCTCTCCAGCAAGGTTCCCCAATGTCAGCCTCTCTCATGTCTGTGTTCTCTGCCCAGGCTCTGCTCCCCACACCTTCCTTGCTGGGTGATCCCCCCACCCTTCAGGACCAGATACGAGCACCCCCTTCCCTGAGAAGCCTGCTGCTCTCACTCAGAGGCCCAGCCCTGTGCTCCCTTTGCCTCACCTCCTCCCCCCACTCCCAGGCTGACACCCTCTCTTGGAGCACTTTTCACACTGTTGATTAACTTTTCTGCCTCCTCATACCAAGTCTTACATTCCTTCATGGCAGAAGTCTTGTTTTAGTCAGAATTTGTATCCTTAGCAAGCCCATTGGGAGTACTCAACAAATATTGGTTAAATAATTAAATGAGCAAATGAATGAAACAACCCCTTCTTCCCCTCTGTGTTACACTCTCAGGTATGTGAGGGAAAAATCTGAAAGGCCTACGATTTTTCGCCATAGTAAGAATGAATCCCGGGGTTTCATTTCAGTCTTCCAGTTTTTCCTTTTGCTTTGGGAATCCTGATATCAGTGAGCTGGCAGAAGGGAATGTTTGAGGAAAAGTGTTCCCAGCTCCTTGTACAGTATCCACCATCGCAGCACTGCCGTGGATGGCACAGCAAGTGACTCTGGTCTAAAGGACACAGGCCCTGAGCTTGGCGTCACTTCCTTTCAGGAAGGCACATGGCTCCGGGCAGTGGTACTAACCACTGTGGGAAAAAAGGGTGTAGTGTTATAGAGTAACCCTCTTCCACAGGGACCAGACTGAGGCCTGCGAGGCTGTTAAGTCAATGGCCAGTCAATGGCCAGAACGGACCAGAAGCTGTGTTTGCAAACGCTGGGTGTTTTCATCACTCTTTCACTCCACTACTCTCTGGCTCTCCTTCGGGGTCTCTTGATATAATAGTCACAGTTTGTCTCTATTGCAATGTGGGGAAGCCAGGAAATGTATATTAATTCAAACATAGGCAAGGTCTATGGGGAAATAAGTAACATATTTCAAAGACATAAGGCATCAGAACATGAGACACTTAGAAGAAATTAGACTCTGGGTTATCTGGGGAGCTGCTGGGCCAGCCCCTTCCTTCCTACCCTATCTGTTGACCCACAGGGAGCACCCAGTTTTCAAAGTGTCTCCAGCCTCTGCTCTTGTTCCACTCGCTCTGGATCTAGTGCTGTACAGGCAACAAATACTGTCTTGTTTGATGTAAGAACCAGAGAATGTTGCCATTCTTCATCTTCCAAAGTCTGTCATCCAAATCCCCCTGTCTTCCCAAACTCAGTCACATCACAGATTCAAGGTCATTTTCAATGTGGAAATGTACAGTGTCAACTAAGGAATGCTACATTAAGGATTGATTTTTCCTTCCTAAAAAGTCACCTAATGTTTTCCCTCTCATATTTGCAGCAAAAAGATTTAGTAGCTAATACATCACTTGACTTTTTTCCAGTACACTGTACAAAGATAGATTTTTTCCTGTCTTTTTTTCCCCCAAGAATCACCTCAACTTACTAATTAATTACTTAGCACTAATTACTTTTTTTCTATATAGATATTGTTCCCTTCCTGTCCTCTCTCACCTCCTTCTAGTAAACTTTCATCACCATCATCCTTCTAACTCTGACACAACCATTTAGAAATTGTGGGAGCCATTTACAAGTGAGTTGCCTTCTCTCTCACTGAAGGAACAACTGCTCCAGCTTTCACTGGCTCCCAGCCCTTCCCACATCCTGTGACAAGTCAGAAGGCTAGGAAGTCCCAAGGGTGTACACGCAGATGTAAAGCAAAGCAGATGAAGACGTAAAGGGGTCAAAAGCACATCCATCACCCTCACTGAGCTGTGGGGTGAAACACGTATTCTGGAAGTAATGGCTCCAGGTAGGAGGGCAGTGAAAGATAAGACCTGTGAGAAGTGAGCATTTTATTGCCAATTTTAAAATGTTAGCACTTAATGTTCTATTTCATTATCATATATTATTGCAGTTCTATAAAAATCATTGCTAGGAATCAATCCCAAAGTTTTGAAGCCTCCAAAAACCAGAAAAAACTAAGAGGCAGAATTTAGAAAATGTCCTGAAAATAGAGAAATTCTCCTTAGCATGGTGTCGTTATTCACACTCAAGCTTTGGCTACCCCAGTATGAGCAATGCAGTGATGGGGTGAGTGCCGCTTGTGCCATGACTTCGAAAGACAATTTTTGTGAAGAGGAAGGGATGAGTATGAATTTCCTATTTTTCAAGTGACAAAACTAAGGTCCAGAAAGTGTAAGTGAAGTTACTGTCCAGTAGCAGTGATGCTACTGGAAAGAAAAACCCATCTCCTTCAACTGACAACTCTACTCAGCAAGGCCCAATCAGTTCTGAGAACATCTCCACCTAAACTCTGCCAGCTCCGCTTCCTGTCTTGGAATCCTGTTTTCATTCCAGAGAGTCCATTTAACTTGCTCTACTAGTTGATTGACTACACTGGCACACACACACAAAAAATCAATGTGAGGCTTTTGACTCCGGCTCTCCTGTTGGAATCAAGACCTGGAGATGAAGGAGTCAAGTGAAATTGATGGGGAGCTCCAAGGACAAGACGAGTGGAAAATTGTTTAATCTATCTGAGGTTCAAATGTCAACAAACTCTGAGTGATGGGCTGTCACATGTCTTTGTACCTTGACAATTACAAGCACTTCACTTCTCTTTCTCACGCTACCGTCACAAAAAGCCCACCCTCTGTAAGGTGTTTAGGGGATTCCCCAATAGGGCACTTCTCAAGCTCCCAAATTTCTCAAAATGAAGATCTGATTCAGGAGATTGGGGTGAATCTGAGACTCTGAATTTCTAAAAAGCCCCCAGGTAATGTTCCCTCTGCTACTCTGAAGGCCACGCTATGAACAGCAAAGTCCTAGAGCACAGTTTGATAAACCACAGTTCTAAGGATCGACAAAGCAATAGCAAAGACTAGGCCACTTGAGGAGATTCAAATGGAAGGGTGTCCTGTTGGAGATCCTTCCTGCATTACTCCTTTATTGACAGTGTATCACTGATGACTGGCAGAATTACAGGGTGTATTGTATAGGCTAAAAGCCCTCTGGAGAACCTGTTCTGAAAGAGTGTAGAAAAGAAGTGAAACAAAATTTACTCACGGGAGAAGCGGGCAAGCGGTCTGGCTGTCTTGTCTCCAGCTTCATTTGCAACTGAAAAAAAATTAAAAAGTGGAGTTGTAATTATAAAGCACAGAACATACCCAACATATTAACTACTGGATGATCTGACATTAAGCAGTGTTTGAAAGTTTTTGATGAAAAGCACTGTTCCTCCCTTTCTTTCTAGATTTCCAGTGGTGCTCTCCTTGTGTAAATGAGGTCAAATGTCTTAATCATTTTGCTTGGAATATGTGAATCAAGCTAACAAGAACCTATGCATCTACTTATTTACTATGCCTAGAGAAGGTTACTGGTTTGCATCTACTGAGTAAGAGGGTACTAGCCAGATATGTCCCTCTGCTCAAGCTTCCTCTTGCTGGGCTGTCCTTCAACTTGGAAATGCACCCCAACCATCTGCCACAAATCCAATTTGCTCAGACCCATAGGGGCAAAACCAAGACAGGGATTTTAGAAGATAAGAAGGTTGGTTTTTGTTTACAAGACTATTCCAATTGGGACAGTAGCAAATAAGAGGAGTTCAGAAGGGAATTCAAGAAAGTTTTTGGAAAGTTGTCTTAGAAAACGCTACTCCAAAGTTTCTCAGCAGGGACTTTACCCTTCTCTGAAAGACCCCTACATAATTTATCATGTTGATAACATCATAATCAATAATTCCTGTATTTATGAATACCATCTTTGTGGATAAAAAGAGATTGGTTATTTTAAGTAGACACAAGTTTCCCTCACATTTGTAATACCTATAGTCTACCTTCATTGTTTTGCTCATCCACAGTCAACAAGCATAGCTATTTGTGATTGATTAGACAACAGCCAAAGCAATCAAGTGGAAAGCCTGTTTATTTTTGTGTAGAACAAATATTTAAAACAGGCAGAATGAAAGAGACTGTTAAAGTAATCATTAATGCACGACAAGTCAAGGTGGCAGGACAAAAGCAATTACTTCGTTTTGCAAGAATGGAGGGAGTTGAAGCTTCCTTTCACCCTCTCACAAAAGTAAACATTTCAAAATTTACTCTATGTGGGCAACTTTTTTAATCAGTGGATTCAACCTCGGTCTACTCCTGTATTTCAGTTCATTGCTTTGCCCCACCAGCTCCTCTTTGCATTACAAACAAGACATTATACAAACAACCAACAGGGGGAGGAGACAGCGCACCCCTTTAGGTAGGAGGGAGGCAGGCACTAGCTCTTGTTAGGTCTAGATCTGAGCTCTCCTGGCCTTGAGTTCGAATGGTTTCCACATTAAACATCATCTATCTCTAAAGAAAAGAAACAGGCTTTTTGGTTTTCGATTTCAAAATATTTGCCATGGCAGCTGATAGACTGCTTTTAACATAGCATTAGAAAGAACACAGCAATTGCTGAGAACCCAGCAAGCACCTTACAGTTCAACATGGAGCGTGTACATTTTTTCAGTGGGAAGAAAAGGAGAAGTTCACCAGAGTCGCTGTGACCCACAGAAACTGCTGCCTTACTCGCAGGCGTTTCCCCTTTTCCCTGCCACCCTCCCCAAAGATGGGAATTGCTGACCCAGATCCCAGACCTGCCAGGATATCTAGGCCAGTAGAGTAGCAGGAGAGCTGTCTCTACCCAGAAGGAATTTGAACGCCACCCCCTGTATTATTTTTCTAGATGCAAACCCAGGGCCATACGCCCCAGTTAAAAGGTCCCCAGTGATGTCCCAACACCTATAAGGCACAATTTAGTAACTTGGCCTGGTCTCAAATACCTGGCCCCACCTGTTCCACTCAGCTTACCTCCCACTGTATTTCCCAGAAGAACACCTTCAGTCCCAGTCACATGCATTAAATTAACAATTTCCGAACATGCCCCTCACATCCTCTCCTCTTTATCATGGCTGTTCTTATCCCAAAACACCCCTTCCCACGGCTTCTTTCAGTTGATTCCTATTCATCCCATAAGATTCAGGTGGGATAATTCATTTTCTGAAAAGTTTCCCTGACTGCCACTGCCTGCCCACCCCCTCACCCCCAGCCCATAGCTCACTGCCCAGAAGACTGACTCCCCTCCTAGTCCAGAGGTTTTCAAACCTCAGCAGGCACCAGAACTACTAAGAAGGTTTGTGAAAAGAGACTGCATATCTCATTAAAATGTAGATTCTGATTGAGTGGACTTGGGTTGGGGATAAAGTATATGTATTTCTTCCAAGTTCCCAGGCAATGCAGAGAATGTTGGTCTAGGGACCAGTTTTCAAAAGCAGCAGCTATCAAACCATAAGGACTCTGTCCAAAGCAAGGATTATAACTTTGAGCCTTTATTTCCAGTATTTTGAACAGTGTCTGCCACACAGAACAATGTCAGGCATTTAACACTTTTTAGTTGTATCATTTTGTATTGAGGTATCATCGGAGGGCAACACTGTATATCATTTAGAGGAAAAAGTTCACCTCTTATTATAGGTTGCCACACCACAACTACTGCCAAAGCTCCCATAATCCTCCACCACAGTCCATGTAAAAACAAATGAAGCGGTGAATTGGTAACAACTGCCTCAGATGACTTAGCAGACCAAGACCTCAAACTAGCTCTCAGAGGGTGACAAAAAAGCCTAGGATGTTTTGTTTACCCCCACAACACCTTAATTTTTAAAGTGAATTGTTTGTATTTAAAAATCAGATACTTTCAGAATATAATTGGCAGCATCCCTCAGCAATGGAAGGACTGTGCAGCCCAAGGACACTCACATGCCCCTGTATGTGGCTCTCCTTCCCACATGTTTGGCGGCCACTCCTTGCTGCCTGGGTTGGACCTTCTCTATGCCAGAATATCCCAGAAGGCAAATGAGAACAGGACTTCTCAAAAGGGTTAAAGAATGACACTCAACCATGCCTGGTGCTTAGCGGTGGTGTTCTGTCCCCAGTCCACAAGTTACCCAGACACAACTGACAAGCTATTGGAACACAACAGTGTTCCTCTGAACACTATTTGTCCCCTGTTTTTTTTTTTTT